GAGAGAGAGAGAGAGAGAGAGAGAGAGAGAGAGAGAGAGAGAGAGAGAGAGAGTGGCAAAGCAGGTTACAACCTTTTTGCAGCTTTTTCACAATTCCAAGAAAGAATTTTACTGTCGCCCTCATCCCAGCGGTGATCACCCCTACGCATTGAATTATGAATGTGACTTAAACAATGCCGTGATGTGATGTGAAGTGCAATGAGTGATGTGTGTGTTTGAGCACACGCACGCGCCCACGCGCCCACACGCACCCGCACACGCATACGCTCGCTCGCACACAGAGAAGGTGAGAAAGAAAGAGAGAGTTTAAGAATGTGCGTTAATTAGTTCAACATGTCTTGATAATGAAAAGAAAATTACATGATTAGTTATAGTTATCTTTAGTGATCACATATTGATGCTCATGAAGAGAATAGTTCTACTAAAAAGATAATGTTGTAGTCAGAATGTAAGCTGTACATTTACCCAAAACTGCCTCAAATACCATTTCCTGCTATCTACATTTTCAAAATTTTCTGGGGGAGGACCTCCAGACCCCAACCTCTGTGCGTACGCATCCATTTCACCCTAGCTACGCCTCTGCTATTTTTATTTACTCATCTGTGCACAAACAACAAAAATATACAGCTGTTTGCTCAAACGACGTGCGCGTGCATGCGGTGAACTTGTGTGTTGCAGACGATTATTAATTAATTTAAATTGAATTTACAGAATTTTCTTACTAATATTAGTAATAACACTATAGCCTAGGCAAAGTAGAAACTTAATTTGTTAGTAAATACATTTCGTGTTTATTTATACCGTCATTTTATTATTATTGAAACGTTCCAGTACCCGTACTGCTAATTGATATGGGGGCAACTGCCATTCTACGTCCCCATGCTAGCTACGGCTCTGTACGCACGTGTTTATTGTAAATATTGATTGTTTTTTATCAATAAGCCTCTCAATCACGACCTACACGCTGGCCGCTGACCCTACCGCTGGCATGTTGACTGTGTTATTTACACGGCATGATATATATTAGACTGGTACTCGATCGCTCCCACCTCGATTACTCGATGGGTGCCTAAGTCGAGAGGTGGGACCGGGTACCAGTCTAGATCAAAGATCGTATAGTGCCGGAGGTGCCGGCATACCGCCGCGGAGGTGCCGGTATGCGTCTATTTTTTCCGTACCGTTAACGCGTCAGCGCTCGGGGAGCGTATTGGGAATGCTTGCGTCACAGCTCAACAGTCCCCCTAAACACTATGTACTCGACTACTCAACAAATAATTGAAATATGT